TTTTTTTTCATAAATGTTAAGAAAGAAAAAAGAACTGCAGAAATTACATCCTCAGTGCATAAGTACTTAGTTAAGATCAAAAAGGCATTAAATTATAAGGTCTGTACTATCCATAGATTCATATATTCACTGGAGGCCTTGGAACATATTCCCCAAGAATAGAGGAAGATTTCTATACATTATTGACCTGATGTTGCCCTTGACATCAGTAATCCGATGATTATGTGTATGTGGAACACACAAATCTTCACTTCATCCTCCATTCATTTTCTATACTTTTCATTACTATTTTGTAGGTATTAATGACTAGACAAATTTTATATTTAATGGTTTCTTCTTCCAGAGGTTTCACAGACCAACTGCGTAAGATTTCCAAGGATGCAGGGATGCCCATCCAGGGCCAGCCATGCTTCTGCAAATACGCACAGGGCGCAGACAGTGTAGAGCCCATGTTCCGGCACCTCAAGAATACATACTCTGGGTTACAGCTCATTATTGTCATCCTGCCAGGAAAGACACCAGTGTATGGTAAGGATATATTAAAACTGCATTTTCAGGTGGTAGAGTGTTGCCTTGCATGCATAAGATCCTGGATTTGACCCAAAGTACCATAAAAGAAAAAAAATCTGCATTTTTCTTCAGGTACTTGATATTCATTTTAGGCTTATGTATCCTATAGCTTTCAAATACTAAAACATATTTTATGGTACAGTAAGTCGTACATTGTTACTTTTAAATCAGTAAACTAAATTGTTCAAGAAGAGACCTGAGAAATAATTTTGTAGCTAAGCAGGACATGGTGACACACACCTGTAGGCCCAGCTGCTTGGGAGGTTGAGGCAAGAGGATCACTTGAACTCATTAATTCAAGACCAGACTGATCAACATACCAAGAACCTGTCTTAGAGGAAGAGAGAAAGGGAGGGAGGGAATAAGGAAGCAAGCAAGGAAGGAAAAAAGGAAGAATAGTATATGTTCTCATACAGTTTTTTTCTCTCAGTACTGAGGATTGAACCCAGGGGCACTTTGCCACTAAGCTACATTCTCAGTCCGTTTTATTTTTAATTTTGAGACAGGTCTTGATAAATTGCCTAGACCTCAAACTTGCAGTCCTTCTGCCTTTGCCTCCCAGGTCACTGGGATTACAGGTGTGTGTCACCATACAGGGTTTCTCATACACTATTACTGGGAAGCGAAGTATTTCCAAAGCTCCTAATTTGTCTTCTTGCCTGTGGGGGTGGTGTACCAGCTAAGCAGGACATGGTGACAACACCTGTAGGCCCAGCTGTTTGGGAGGTTGAGGCAAGAGGATCACTTGAACTCATGAATTCAAGACCAGACTGATCAACATACCAAGAACCTGTCTTAGAGGAAGAGAACAGATTCCTGCATGGTAGAGCAGATTCCTGCTTGGTGGTGTGAGCCTCCTGAGAAGATAAAAAGTCTGAAATATTCAGTAAGGAACAAAAGACAAAGTCAGAAATTAGATTTAAAAGGGTGGTATCTGATGGGTCTTCCAGCCTTAATAGTAACTGGAACTGAACAACTGAAAAAGGCCCCAATCCTTTATTTAAGAGGAAGTAGATCAAAGGTGGCAGGGATCTTGAAGTAAACAGGTTGTTTGGTGCTTGAAAGGTTACACCCATCTCTAAGTGGCTATGTTTGATCCTAGGGTTGTGAGCTAAAGCAGGGTACCAGCGTGATCTGGGCTTTCTTTCCCAGAAAAGCAACTTCCTTGTCTTAATGGCTCAAATAATATCCATAATTTATACACAGCTTCCAACACTTGCTTACATTCCATGTAGTCTCTTCCTGAGCAGATAATATAGAGAATTCCTATATACCACCCTGTTCCCTGCAGTTTTTCCTACAGAGATATTATTAACTTCTTCCCTTAAAGGGTACATTAAATAAACCAACAGTTTTACATTATGATTCACTTTTTGTATTGTATAATTCTTTGGGTTCTGACAAATGCATTATAATCACAGTATCATACAGAATAGAGTCATTGTGCTAAAAATCCTGTTCATCCTGCCTCTGTCCTGAATTCCTGAAGCTGCTGATCTTTTTGTATCTCTACAGTTTTATTTTTTCTATAATATGATGCAGTTGAAGTATGGAGCCTTTTCAGATTTGTTTCTTTCACTTAGCAGTATGCATTTAGGTTTCCTCCATCTCTTAGGACTTGATAGCTCATTCTTTTGTTTAATTAATACTTCTTTATGGGGGCTGGGGTTGTGGCTCAGTGGTAGAGCGGTTGCCTAGCATGTGTGAGGCACTGGGTTCGATTTTCAGCACCACATATAAGTAAATGAATAAAATAAAGGTCTAAACATCTAAAAAATATTTTTTTTAAAAAAAGTCTTTATATGGATGTACCACTGTTTATCCACTCACCTATTGAAAGACATCTTGGTTGCTTCCTGATCAATAAAAGATAAAGAAAAGAAAGTATAAACAGAATGGAAATGTCTGTAAAACAAAAGTTGGATAACAACTACTTGGTATGCATCTCATGCCTCTGAGTACAGTGTAATTAGTCTGATTGTTTAGGTATTTCTGTCATTCAATCAAAAGATAGAGGTGAGGGCTGGAGTTGTAACTCAGTGATAGAGCACTTGCCTATCAAGTGTGAGGCACTGGGTTCAATCCTAGCACCACATAAAAACAAATAAAGGCATTGAACCCATATACAACTAAAAAGGTGGAGGTGACCAAAGTTCATACTCTAAGCAGCAGCTGGAATTGTTTGTAAGTCCTATTTTCTATGTAGTCTCCCAATCCATTTTGAGATGCTTTTTTAATGTTGCTTTCATTGTAATTCTCCTTTTATTTTCAGACCCTCACAGTCGGACTCTGTTTATCGGCTTCTTTGTACTGTGTTATTTTTCATACCTCACTTTCCAACCTTTACCAAGAAAATGAATGTACATTCTTCCTGTTTTGTTGTTGTTGTTGTTGTAAGTGAACACAATACCTTTATTTTTTTTAGTTTTTTTTTTTTCTATGTGGTGCTGGGGATTGAAGCCAGTGCCTCATGCATGCTAGTCAAGCACTCTACCACTAAGCCACACCCCAAACCCACATTCTTCCTTCAAATTTTAGTTTAGAAGTTTCTTCTGAGAATTTGCCTGACCTTCACAAATCAAATTCTTTTTCTTTTATCGTCAGCACCTTGTACCTCGTCTTAATATTATTTTCACAATTGTATTGTTAAATTTGAGCAGTTATTTAATTAAAAGCATGTTTATATAACTAGACGATGAATTCTTTGGGGGCAGGAACAATGTCTGCATTGATTCATATACAGATCTTTGTACAGTACAGGTATTAGGTGCTCATTAAAAATTTGTTGGATGAATAATACTGTTTGGAAGGTAATTTGCTCTTATTATAAAAATGTTTTATAAAAATAACAAACACATATACATATATGTGTGTAGGAAGATAATAGAAATTTATCCTGAAGAAAATTATTTATTTGTTTGTTTATTTATTTGTACTGAGGATTGAACCCAGGGGTGCTTAACCACTGAGCCCCATCCCCAGCCTTTTTTTATATTGTATTTAGAGACAGGGTCTTGCTGAGTTGCTAAGGGCCTTGCTAAGTTTCTGAGGCTAGCTTTGAATTGCGATCCTCCTGCCTTAGTCTCCAGAGCTGCTGGGATTATAGGCCTGAGCCACTGTACCGCACCTAGCTCCTCAAGAAATTTATAATAAAGTAAAGATGAAGAAGTTACATATTTTGTTTAAAATAGTGAAAATCTGGAACAACCTAATATATTAGTATAAGTCTGGTTAGATCCATTGTGGCATTGGAAAACAGAATAACTGCTACTATATTAATAATAAAAGCAATCTATATATGGAGATTGAAAACCATACTCTTAAGTGAAAATGACAGATTGTAAGACAATGTGTAGTATGTTCTCAGTTTTAATTTTAAAATGTTTTCCACATTACAGTACTGGGTGTGGTGATACTATTACAGGGCTGGGGCCTTTCAGGAAATAGGTAATGCAGTGGACCCCTGTTCAAACCCTGATTCTTACGATCAAGTCAGGAAGATTTTAGACACATCACTGAGAGTGACATCATGAGTTTATTAGAAAGGATAGGAAAGGAGAAATGGGGAACTTCTTAACGGAGAAAGTGGGTCCTCTCAGAGAAGAGAGGGACAACACATCTCCCTGCCTTCAGTTTTATTGGAGGTTCCAGGGCAGTTTCAGAGAGTCCCTCCCAGGTCCACTTCTTGACTTTTTTTTTTTTAAGTTGTTGATGGATTTTATTTTATTTATTGATACATGGTGCTCAGAATCAAACCCAGTGTCTCACACATGCTAGGCAAGTGCTCTACCACTGAGCCACAACCCCAGCCCTACCTCTTGATTTTGACAGCAGGATGATATCACACTTTCAGATCCCCACTGCCATAAAACTCTAAGTCACTTTGGCTCTTGCTGACCATCTCTAATTGGAACCTGTTCTTATAGATTTTATGGTTAGGGAAAATTATCTTTAGCTCTCTGATGTTTAGGATCTGGACCATGTAAGGGTCACAGAAATAACCCCCTTCAGACTAACTTGTGTTCTTCTTATCCACATTTCCAGCATGCTTTTCTCCTGCAGATAATAGGTAGTTTGCTGAGGAATGTAACATATACTGTGGACTTAAGCCAGGAAGGGCTACAGGTAAATTGCTTTTTAAAAGTGAAAGTTTGTGGGGGGTCAGCACAGTAGGCCTATGTTATAGACTTATTCATTTGACCTCATGTTCCCACAACTCAGATCTCTCTGTGTATTCCATCTGCACATGGTTACTCAGAAAGCTGAGTCAGGAGGATCCCAAATTCAAGGATATCCTGAGCAGTTTAGCAAGATTCTAACTCAAAAAATTAAAAAGGCTGGGGATGTAACTCAGTGGTAAAGCACTTACCTAGCATGTTTGAGGCTCTGGGTTCAATTCCCTAGTACTGAGGAGGGAAAAAAAAGTTATGTAAACTGAAATCCTTAGGGTAAAGATTTAGACTTAGATTTCCTTTATGGAAGAGGCAAAGAACAGGAATCTTTTATTATTTACACTGTAATGCCTCATCACTTTCAAACTAAAGGCTGGAGATTAAAATTGATAGACGTAAACATACTTTGACTATAAGTACATTAGTATAGGGCTGGGGATGTGGCTCAAGCGGTAGCGCACTTGCCTGTCATGCGTGCGACCCGGGTTCGATCCTCAGCACCACATACCAACAAAGATGTTGTGTCCGCCGAGAACTAAAAAATAAATATTAAAAATTCATTCTCTCTCTCTCTCTCTCTCTCTCTCTCTCTCTCCCCCCTCTCTCTCTCTTTAAAAAAAAAATACATTAGTATAAATGAGAAAATTACTGGAAAAGAGTACAATAAAATGATAAAGGATTATGTGTTTTTTGCTTTATAGTTTTTTTTTTTTAAGTAATGGTAGTGATACTATTTTTATGATGAAGGGAGGAAAATTATTTTCCTCAACCTCTTAAGAAGTTCATAGTTGAAACAGACTACTCTAACAAAAGGAAGATTAACAGAGAAAACCATGCAAGTTTATTAAAGTATATAGTGCGTATCACATGGGATAAAATTAGTTCATTGTAGTGTTTATGGAGTTTGGCTTACATAGAATATCTAACAAAGAACATTAATTTTAGAGAACTGACAAAAATAAATAAATTAAAAAGGAAAGCAGTCCCAGGCTTCCAGAAGTGGGAAACTATGGGGAGAGACGAATATGGAAAACACAAGTGAAGTAAACTCCCCTCACATATTCCTCAGGCACTATCTTTTTGAGCTTCCAAGGATTGTAAAGAAAAATTTACATCCTGTCTTTAGGCAAGAAAAGTGAGGGAGGATAAACCATTGGTATTTGTAAATCTCTGAAAAAAAAATTTTGCTATCAGAGAGGGAAGGCAGGGAGCTCTTCTGCATCTTAATTGTATCCACCTCAACAATCTTTTGTATTTGGAAGAGATATGGGGTTTTTTTCCAATGCTAAAAATATACTTTTTTTTTTACACAAAGAAGAAAACAGTCAGAAAAATTACCACTAAATACTTAACCTAATCTTTAAGATAGTATACTTCACGTTTTATTAGCATTGTTTTAGTTTTGGTGTAATTTGGAGTATCCTGTAGTACAAGGATGTATTGCAGGGGGAATGCATAATAACTTTATTTTTCAATAAGTGGATTTAAGTCCTTGTTCTAACTTGAGGTATTTTATTTATTCCACAGCGGAGGTGAAACGTGTAGGAGATACACTTTTGGGTATGGCTACACAGTGTGTTCAAGTGAAGAATGTAATAAAAACATCTCCTCAAACTCTCTCAAATTTGTGCCTAAAGATTAATGTTAAACTTGGCGGGATAAATAATATTCTTGTACCTCATCAAAGGTAAGCTAATCACTTATAAAAATTCTCATTATTTTTCCTGTCTTCATTTTTCTATATTTGGCCATAAGTAATTACTGTAAGCTCTGACCTAAAGATAACCTTGATGATTTCTGCCATGGGATATGTAGACATTTTGGCAAAAAAATTAAAATAGTTTGAATTGGCCCACTCTGGCCCCTATTTTCATTTAGTGTACAAACTACCTCTTGCCTTGTCAGAAAATATTAAGAACTTTATTTCTCACTGGAGAGCCTAGCTTAAAAAGAGCTTTTCCTTTATTTAATAATCATCTTCATCCTGATTTCATGAGGTTAACTGTCTTGACTTATATGCATACGTAAGCATTAGAACAAGTTTGGTCCATGTGTATTTGGAAAATAAAAAAAGCTCCTTTTTTCCCTGCCACCCTCTACCTCCTTATCCCTATTAAATATGAAATGAGATTCATAAATAAGAGGGATGTGTTGAGTTTTATCAACAAGTTTAATAACTAAAAAACAGTCTTTTGAATTTTAAAGGATATAATTTTAAAATAAAAGGAAAGGCTCACTACTTTGTGACTATTATATGTTACTTAAATTTATACATTTGGCCAGAGGATGGGGAGTAGTCAACTCCCATAATCTTTCCCATATAAAGTCTAATGATTCTTTTTCTCCTTGATGTATAAGCAGATTTTTTAAATTTGAGAAAAATTGGTGGATTAATATTTATAATTACTCTGATTACAGAGAACATTAGCATCAATTGCCCTTTGCAACCACCAGCACTTACTGCTTAAGACAAAAATTGTTCTCACAAAAATGCTGGGCAGCCCTGTTGTGACAGTTTCTACTTTATTGACTAGGGATTCTTGAATTAAGAGGATAAAGCACTTGGTAGTCGAGGCCTATGAAGCTGTCTATTCAGGACTTCCTCTGTGCTGACAGTGGCTTGCAGTTATGTTGCAATCATGTGAAACAGATAAATGGATGATGAATTATCTAACCCCTTTAAAAAATGTGTTTAAGACCTTCTGTGTTCCAGCAACCAGTGATCTTTTTGGGAGCAGATGTCACTCATCCACCTGCTGGTGATGGGAAAAAACCTTCTATTGCTGCTGTGAGTATCATTAGGCAGATCTCTCTCTCTTTCTCCCTCCCTCTCTCCTCCTCCCTCCCTCCCTCCCTCTCCCCCCTCCCCCTCCCTCTCCCCC